GTGGAGCCCTTAATAGATCTCTCCCTCTCTCTTCATATTCAACTCTCATCTCTCTGAAATCAAGCTAAGAGGCTTGATTAAGATTAAATCTTTGGGTGGATTTTACCATAGTAGGAAAATCAACATACCGATCATAGATCCCGAGCACCATCGGAAAGAGAAAACTCGCCGTGGGTGTACTAAGCCCGATTGAGGTAATATCCGACAATTTTATCTTTTTAAATATTTACTTGTCTTCCCATAAAGCAATGCAATAAAGTCTAGTTTTATTTATTGAGTAAAGAATTGTATTTGAAGATGTAGCAATTGAGAACCGATTTTTATTTTTATTTTATTTATTTCAAGAGTGGTTCGATTATAATTGGATATTGTAGGTGATCTTGCCGGTGTAGGGGTTAAGGATTTTTTTTATATCTACACCGTGCTTTTTCATAAAGGACTTTCATCTCCCCTCACCAACTTGAGGGGGAGTCTTGAAGATAAGAAGAGATTGGTCATCACGTGGTTATTGGTGATAAGACCTCCTACGATTTATCTCTATCTCCAAGAATCATTGTTATTATTATCTATATATAAAGGCATTTATTGATGCAATCATCATCCAAAATAGAGAATATCTGGCCGTTTGGGGCTTTGGATCCGTAGACGTAAGGCTTCGGCCTGAACCACGTAAATATTGTGTTTTAACTTCTTCTCGCCAGTCTCCCTTCAATGTCTGTATATGTATGCTCTCACGAATTCTAATAAAGCGGACCCAGACCTGTCTCAACTCAGCTTGGGCTGTAAGAGCTTAACCCCAAGTTAGACCTGCCTTGATCTGCGCTGGGTTGGTCCTTATAGATTGGAAAAAAAAAAAAGGAAAAGCAAGGGAAACCACAGGGTTCAGCTAGCTAGGTTGCGGCCTAGACACAGGCCCGATCCTTGGGTCATAGTGGCTCGATTGGGTACAGACATCAGCCCATATCTTTTAGCCCAAGTGCTAGTTTTTCAGGGCTAGGCCTACAACCCAGTCTGTTACCAATCCTAGTTAAAATAAATTTTGTAAAAAAAAAATTGTTTTAGAACTTGGAATAATTGTTCACAAGTTGAACCCAAAAGGATTTTGCTAGTATTCTTCTATAAAATCCAATCTCGAGGCGAGGCTATGTTTTTTTGGGGCTAGACGTCTTGTCGGGCAATCGGATCAGTATGGATCTTCCAATTCCCTCATGAAACTCCGATTCCCTCATGAAACTAGGGGAATCCATAAGAAACTATCAAATTTTGGTTATGAGAAAAAACCTGGTCGGTCTGAACTGATTCCTGCTCCTTATTGGCTATTAATGATTCGGAGCATAGGGTTTTAAGACACTCGATGGGCATGTGAACTCAGGCTACTGCTTTTGGAAGTGGCAATAATGGCACACCCCTAATTCTTTTTCTTAATACTTTTTGTTAAAAAATATATATATTTTTAATTATTTTTGAGAGACGATTGACCTAACCTATCCGGAGAGTTACATGCGAGTTTATTCACAATCAGGCTTTCAAATCAAATTATTTGCATTATAATGAAACTGATTTAACCCCAATTTCTAAACCCAAAATAATACTTAAGCCAAAAGAAGAAATATCAAATGCATTTCGTCGCAATGAGAGGGATACATGTCCTGTCTTCTCCATGGTTGAGGTAGTCATTGACATCCTTTGGTGGTTTAATAATAATGTGTTTGTGCGTTCCATGTTGCCAGACATTAATATGTCAATAAAAATTGGTCAATAATAATTGCACATTCTCCATTCGGTTCCACATTGGTGTTCCACAGTGGTTAGATGGGGCAGATCATATAATTGCGTATTCCTCAAACAACATGCACGTAATTTGATGCAAGAAAATGCTTTTCCTTCTGTCTATTGCGTAATCGTTTATTGACTTAGCTGGCATATGAGAGAAATTGACTTACAGAGGAAATCGAATTTTCGAGCTGCAAAAAAAATTATTTCCTTTTGCGGATTTAGGCGTGTGGTTGAGATTAGAAATTAAAAAATTGCTGATTTGTCGCAGAATCGCTCGAGAAAAATTGAGATCGAGAAGTGTGAAATTCCTGTTCTAGCGACCTGGAATTGCCCAATTTCCCCATTTTTAATTATTTGTAATCTTTATAAACATCTATATGTCACAAATCAGAATTAGCCTTGGGGCTTTAGCTCGAGTTTTTCATCATCATCGTCCAAGCTTTATAGGCTTTTAGGTCTAGTTTTGATCTTGAAATCAAATGTTAAGATCAAAGTACGTATGATTTTAGAACAGATTTCAAACTACGAGGGGAGGCATACACACAAGTTTCCCACAAGAGGTTAGTACAAAACAAACAATGTGCAATTTATATAGGACTTGGTTTCTACAAGTCCATGGAGAAATGAGGTGCCTCTTAAAAATCTATTTTTGTGATGGATTTTTTTACTTAATTTTGAAGGATATATAATAGCTGACATGGAGATCATGAATATGAAATCATAAATAATTATTGAAAATTAAAAATAATAAATCTGTTAAGAAAACATTTGGGCCTTTAGTTTCAATTGTTTTAGAGGGAATCCATCTTTAAGATGGATGCTTTATACCTCTGGACGGTATATGTATAAATGCGGTCCAACTCGCATGAAACAATTTTCGATTTATACAAGGCAAAATGTGTTGGCAGAATGGGAAACTCAATATTTCTTTAATTACAAATGCTAAATGTGTTGATAATTATAGAAACTAGATATTGAGTTTCTTATATGTTATATTACAAGATATTAAAGTTTCTTACATTGAGTTTCCTATTTTGTGGGATTACTAGATTTTGTTTCCTAAAAGGAAAGAGCTGTAACTCTATAAATCTCTAGTAAACCATAGTAATTTCTATGAATGAGAATCTGGTTTACTTTTTATGGATGTAGGCACCGTTGTTGAACCATGTATATCTTGTTGGTTCTACCAAATATTGATTTTCTATAATGTCAACAAAATGATAGGATGAGACTATTTACCTTTGATACAAAGTGGTTACATTAACCTTGACCATTAGATGTGAAATTGAGCTATAATATGTTCAACCTTAAAACAAATAAAGTAAAACGTACTTCCAAACCCTGTCGGAAGTTATTAGAGTTTTGGTGTCAAAAACTCCTAGAATAGCTTGATAATCTATTTTTATCCCTAATTATAAAATTTAAGGCTCTAAAAATTTTTGTAGATTAAGTCAATCCGTAAACATTTCAAAATTTTGAACGTGGAGGGCTCAAATAATGTATCCCCAGATGCTATAGTTTTAAGATTTGGAATCATTTTCTCTATATCCACTCATTGCATCTCGAGATCGAGAACATCAATTGGAAGATTTTTCAAACAACATTTTCTCTTATACCTTAATTTTTTTTCCTTTATATTTATTAGTATATATATTTGACGCCTTATATAAACCTTTAATATATAAAAATCAGCCAATCACCTTCCGCAATTAATGGCTTAAAAACCCAAAATTTTCTTCGATTTTTATTTTGTTTTCTTCGAAATATATTGTAGTTGAGATTTGTGAAGTGCAGAGCCTACAATTTTCTTCCTTTGACCGTTGTAACAACTTGTCCAAACATCAAAAATACCGTTGAGAATAGTGAATAAATAATTATAGCGAATAAATTACATCGCTGTCCATAAATTATGTTAGGGATGCTTAAACGACACCTCTCCTTGTTCCCCTCTCTCTCTCTCATATGATTGCATACTATTTCTCTCTCTCTCTCTCTCTCTCTCTATATAACTCTCTAAATCTGAATCGTCAAATCATGCACTCTAAACTTTGGAAGCTTCTCGATTGCTTACCGCCCCACTCAACGGCTAGTGAAACACCGAGGAATCCAACCCTCGCCGACCAATCAGAAACCACGCGGTGCCAACATTTCACGACATCGAGGAGAGAGAAAGAAAACAAAAATGTGGAATAATAGGGACGAATAATCATCCTTGTTTTAAAGAAAAAACGATTTGAGGAAAAAGAAAGAAGAGAGAGAGATGGAAGAAGGTAGATGGAAGGTAATTAAATAGGAATCAAAGGAGAAAAGGAGAGATGAAGAGAGTAATTAAATGCATTAAATTGTTCATGTCTTGTGAGTAATTTGGTAAAATTCAAGTTTTTGAGTCTAAAACTCGAGGTTGGTAATCTTAATCTGTTTTTGGAAAAGGAGAACACATTGCGTTAAACTTTGTTTTTGGATAAGTTTTGACTATTTATTTCAAATTCATTGAGGTAATATACATTTAAATTTGAGTTCTACTTTTTTTTTTTTGTCTGATTCATGGGTTGGTAATCAAAATTAACGATTTGCCAAAGAATAACATCTAAACATTATCGATTTTCCCATAGAATGTGACCTAAATATGAATTTAATGAAAATTTTCCATAAATAAAAGGGATTTGCATCTTGTTTGTTTGGCATTGCCAAATGTACACCTAGGTGATAATCTCTATGCAAAGAGCACTGCCCATAGGAAAAAAAAAAAAATTCAAAAGAAGAATTTAGACGTAGATAGAAATTCAAAAAAATATAAATAAAAAGAAAAAAAAAAGAGGAAAATTACAGGCAAAATATCAAAATCTCCAACCGCTAGATGTTGACAAGCGACGCTTAGAAGTCCATTTACATCTATACAAGTTCGTCAAAATCTTTTTTTTGCCCTTTGTTGGAAATCTAAATAATAGGATACCATACAAGCGAAACCTTATTTCGTTGAAGCTAACAAAAAGGAAAAACTTGGAGAGAAAGAGAAAAAAGTTTGGAGTTGAAGAGAGAGAGAGAGAGAGAGAGAGAGAGAGAGAGAGAAATAAAAGAAAACAAAATTGTAGGGAGAAAAAACGAGGGCACATGGTAACGCGGTGTCCGGTGAGGCCCCAAGCCATCAAGCACCGTTGCTGCTAGGCTGTCAATTATTCCTACCCCATTTTCTCTCTCTAAAACTCTCGCTATATAAACCCCTCCACTCCTCCATCTCACCCTCAGCCGCACAGCACAGCACAGCACAGCACGCACACTCTCTCTTCTCAAACCCTAACCCTAAAACAAAAGAGAAGTACATCCCTCTCCTGAAGCCCTTAGTCGCCATGGCTGGGACGAGCATTTTCTCTCTCTTCCTCACCATGGCCCTCGTCTCTCTCTCTAACGCTCAAGCCCCCACCTCCCCTCCCACCACCACCCCTGTCGCTACTCCACCGCCCACAGTCGCAGCTGCACCGCCCACAGTCGCTGCGCCGCCCACAGTTGCTGCACCACCCACTGTCACTGCTACACCGCCCACTGTCGCGACGCCACCCACCGTCACTGCTACACCGCCCACTGTCGCGACGCCACCCCCTGTCGCCACACCACCCCCTGTCGCCACACCACCCCCAGTCGCTGCACCACCCACTGCTACTCCTCCCCCCACAGTAGCTACACCACCTCCTGCAGCATCACCCACTGCTGCGACCCCACCTGCTACTCCACCCGCTGCTGCTACACCACCCTCCGTATCTGCACCTGCTCCTTCACCGGTGATGAAGTCACCACCTGCACCCTCACCTGGGGCCCCTGTTGGTGAACCCACTGCTGCTACACCAACAGGTGGGGTACCGAGCCCCGTTGCTCCAGTGCCAGCTCCCGCTTCGGACACTGGAAGCCCCGACAACAGTGCTTTCTCCAATGTGGCTTCCAAGGGCTTGGTTTTGGGGGCCATTGGTGCTGTTGCCCTTCTATTCTAAGAAGGCGTAGTGCCCCCCATTTTTTACCTGCATTTTCTTTTATTTTTTCCCTTACTCTCTTTTCCTTGTTACTATTTGGGTTTGTGGGTCTTATTTTTCTCTTTGGATCTACTTTTGTTCATTGTTGCTGATGAGAGGATGATTCGTGTAATTCTTTTGTTTCGACGAGGGCCCCTTCTTTTGTAGTAGGGCGGAGGAGGAGGAGGAGGTGGTGGTGGTGGTGGTGGTGGTTTTATTTTTATGAGCTTTATCTCTCTCACATTATTATTGCTTATTTTTCTTCTGTATCATTTGGTGTAACATGAATAAATGACCTTACATTTTTCACATTTCTCGCCGATTCATTAAGATTTTAATGAAGATTATACATTTTTCTGAGTAGAGGACTGGTAACGGATCTCATTAAATGATATATAGGCGAAAACGATAATTATTATGTGCCTTCAGTGCAGGACCGCAGGGAGTGTAAATGTATTACTACTATATTACTACGGTTTAGGACAATAAGAAGTGAAGATGTTACTAGGGTTTAAGGACAATAAGACGTGAATATATTATTACTAGGGTTTTCTGGATTTATCTGTAAGTTTACTGCTATGAAGTTATGAATCGAAACCGACAACTGCCCTTTCGAGAGAGAGAGAGAGAGAGGGGAACGTACTTGGTACCGATTTCCAAGTGTTTTCCAGCTTTCATTTGGCCTTTATTTATGTTCTCGAGACGCGGTCCCGCATAGGGTGGAGTGCATTCATTAAAGTCGATGCAACCCTCCTTACCGCTTTTACCCTCCTCTCTTTCGTATCCCAATCCTTCGCCCGCCCCCCCTTCTTCCCCTATACTCACTTTAGGCCCCGTTTGCCAACCTGTATTCCACTATCTAAGAGTAAGTTGGATTCCATTCTCGCTATTAAGGTTATCCAGGTTTTCGGATATGTCATATGAGATTAGCACATGTAGCTGCGGATTGAAAACCCCCTTTTCTCTCTCTCTCAATCTGGGACTCCTTTAGGTGCAAATCTTAGAGGTTTCATCCTTTCTTCCGGGTCGTATTCAAGTTGACTCGCGATAATGCCTATAGTAATGCCCGTGTTCATGTGAGTTATCATATGCCTCTTTTCACTATTTATCATTGTCATCCAAGTTTTTTTTTTCAATTAATTAGGATTACCTCTATCAAAAAGACATCCAAGTTTTTTTTTTTTCAATTAACTAGGATTAGCTCCATTAAAAAGACATACTTTAGTGAGGCTATGAATTTTTATATTTTTATGAAGTACTTCCAATCATGTCTTATTAAGCTTATCCGTTGCATATTGTTAGCCCACTTAAGTGTATGCTCTCTCATTTTATTGCTTATTGATGTCACATTTGAATTTTTTGTGAATGAATTTATTTTGAAATCTATTCTTTCTTATCTTGTCATTCATCCATCTCAACATCTTCATTTCGTAACATTCGTAAATTATTATTTTTGTCTGTCCAGACCATGTATCGTTCGATCTGATATTGCAAATGAGACAGTCGGGGTAGATAAAGGTTGGAATTGTAGAGAGGGAAACATTTGGGTTTGGGTTTGGGTAGGTGGATTTGGGAGCTTAGAGAGAGAAAGTGATGGGGGTGGAAATGGAATGCTTTTTGAGTGGTGGAGGGTGCAGCCTGTGCATATGGCGGGGCAGAGAAGGGACAGGAGGAAAGTGAGAGGCACGTGGTAAGCCCCACACCTCAGCACCTACCTCTAAACCTAATATATTTTATAGGGACCGACCATCTAATAATGCCCTTCAAATAAAATTGAATATTGACATGGAAAAGCCCTACGCATTTTCACTTTGAGACACCTTTATGTTATCTAACTCAGGGCTTTCTCATTTTTTCTTTCTTTCTTTCTAGAAAGCTCGAAAGTTGCGTCTTTGGATACCCAAGTAGTCCCATTTTCCCCCCCACTTTGTTTCAGACTCGGATCTCGAATCACTTGGTAAATTCACCGAAGGCAAAAAGTACGCACCTTTGTTTCAAAACTCGGATCAATTGATGGATTAGTTCATCGGATGGAGAATTAGTTCCCAAAACTTTAAATAATTTTGAAAAATATTAAAATGGAACTAAAAAATAAAAATGGGTAGTAACCGAGATATTTTGGTGATCTATATCGCTTGGGTTCTTGGGTTCTTTGTCAAAACTGAGTGAGTCTAGAGGAATTATACCGATTCCCTATTCCAATTAGGGACCAGGTCAGTCCCCATTAATTCCTAGTTTGGGTTGGCAATTTTTTGTCCAGATCGGCAAATTTTGAAACACTGATTTAAAATAAGTCCTAGTGTTCCTTGTGGATACTAAAATTCCACCGTAGGCAAAAGTTCACAACTTTGTTTGAAAACTCGGATCTCAAATCTGTCGGGTGAGCTTGTCTTTCAGAAATCCAGCATGGATTGGTGGATCGGATGGGGAATTGGTCTTAAAAAAATTAAAATAATTTATTTTTGAAAAATAAAAATTGAGAGATTAATAAAAATAAAATGGCTAAAAACCAATAAATTTTGGTGATGCAGATCTCTTGGTTTCTTGACAACCCTCTGGGTTCTTTGACACAATTGGGAGAGTCTATAAAAATCAAACTGATTCCCGATTTGAACTAGGAAGAATGTCGGTCCCCAGCAATTCGCAGTCCGGGTTGGCAATTCCTATCCAAACCGGCGAATTTTGAAACATTAATTTAAAATAATTCCTAGTGCCCCCATTCAAAAATCCATCTAAGAGATCAATTTTGATACACATAGTAAGCATGTGTTTCTACACTGGCTTAAAATCTATTTTTTCCTCCGCATTCTGATTGTGATGACAAGATTATCGATCCTTTGAATTTTCAATCCCAAAATATATCTCTAAAATGTTTTTGTAAAGAGTCCGTATTTGAATATTTGGACAAGGGCGTTGGTTTATGCACCAAAACCTTATCCTTATCACATAGGAGAAGACTTAAAGCCACTCATGAGTGAATTTTTATAATATTTCACTCCTAACATCACCGCTCAAAATGCATTGGGGCAATATTTGAATTTTAATAATTTTTTCACTGATTAAATTAATCCCAAATTTTGTGGATATGTGCGTCTTAATGAGGCACACTAAAATAAAATATAAAAATATGATTCAAATATTCAAAATAACCAAATTACCCCTATAATCATTTTAGGGGGTTTTCATCATTTTACTTGTTGGTAATTATATTTTAATATTTTATTTTTATAAGAAATTATTAGACGTACACATGTCTTACATTTCAAATAGATAGATTTATAAAACAAAAATTATTAAAATTAAAATACTATTAAATTATCATAACGGTTTAATAGATTTTAGATGATGATGAATTATGACTAAACTGCTACAAAAATTCACTCATGAGTAATATAAGTGTGCCTATTCTCTAAAAATATTTCAGTAATCTTATAAAGGTGAAATAACAAAAACAACGCTTTCCACATTTCTCGATAGAATGGTTTTGAGCGATCCCTGCTGTAAAGAGGAAAAGTGTACAATGATACATTGGAAGGGAAAGTTTCCTGTCCACGCATCATGTGAGTGCGTAAGAATATATTTATTTACTTTAAAGGTTTTAGATTAATATATTTTTAAATGAAAAAATTAAAAATAAAATTAATTTGTGACCGTTGGATGAGACTAAGCTCATTCTAAACCATTAAAAAAGTAATTGTGCACCTTTCAAGCGTCCATATCATCTGAACACCATGTCATCCCATTTTGGAATTATTCACAAGTATACAATAATGACTTTTAATAATACTTGTCAAGTCCACCTGTACCAAATTTTGGACCTAGTAGATTGGGTATGGGGCCATCATTTACCGTATCAGCTTGATTTGGCCCGATATAAATGTATATATAGAGGTAAGCTTTTTATGCTTCCTCTACGGCATAAAACTTATACATTTCTCTTTACGCAACTGTTCATTTTGAATGGAAGGTTAAGGTTGTTTCAATTACAATGTCATGTCTTTATATTATTTTATTTTTAATATTTTTTTTATAAATTATTTTGACCCAAGATTTTGGATATCCAATCCTTTATTAAACTTGTATTAGAGAAAAATATATATATAAAAAATTGAATAACATAAAATGATCAAAATACCCTTGAAAGCTTCAAAAGGTATTTTGGTCATTGCATTTGATTGAAAAAATATTTTTAATATTTTTTTTATGAGTGTGCCCCAATGAGAATATGACACGTGCCAGATTTCATATTCATACAATTTGTATAAAAAAAATAAAAATAAAATACTTTGAGACGTCGGATCTCAGATCAAACGGCGAGTGGCTTTCTTGATCAAAATTGGACGGCTGGATGGTAGGGGAAGCATAGATCTTCTATGCTGAGGCTCTAAGCAATAAACAATCAAAGTAAAGCCCACTTTTAAATAGTATCGAGAAATATGGTTTCAATACTAGAAATTTGTGATAGCCTCAAAATATGTTTTCATCTATAATCATAAAATTTAAAGCTTCAAAAAATAGTGTAGATCGAGTAGATCTATGAAAACTTGAAAATTGATGGAAAAAAATGCGTTACGAGATGCATTACTTTCAAAACTTGAAATCCATTCTTTTCTCATGTTCATGTATCTTGATGTCGAGATTATCAATTTGAGGGTATTTGGGCATCAAAAAAACTTCTTTTAGTGAAATTTTTGAGGTGGGTTTTAATTTGATTGTTTAGATCATCGGCTCTATATAAACTTTTTCTATATATATATATATATATAGCATACAATTTTATAATAGATTTTTATTTTTTATCTAGACTTGGATTGTGACCTCACTAGACCCAAACCCGATCCAGTGCGTTGGGTATTGGGTATGCTGACGAAGACCTGATGCCGTGTCCAGGTTACATTTTTGTCTAGCTAAGACTTATTTGGCTTTTTTTTTTTTTACTCTTTAATCTCTTAAAAAAAGGCCAAACATTTGGTCCGCCAATGGGCATCATACCACAATGTCTGCCCTGCCCTCCCCCATTTTTTGGGGGTAAAGGAACACTTTATTTCAGGGCAAACTTGGTGCACAAATTCTTTGCCAACCCGATGAATAAGTTTTAAAAATAAGTTTAAAAACTTTAAAAATATTATTTTTTATTTATGAGATTGTATACAATGAGACTATTTACTTTTGATATAAGGAGTTCACAATTACTTACAACCATTCAATGTGAAATCTAATTAATTGGGTATGTTACAAAGTTCGAGAAAATTTCTTTTGAACTTTGAGC